AAAAGAAATGACGATGGGACAATTCAAAACATTTCTCAGAGAAAACGACAATATTTTGTTAGTTATATTTATGTGTGCATACAATATTTTGTATATATTCTCTTAGACTTTAACTGTGTGATAATTTATATTATATTATATTTTAGATGTAATTTTTATTAAAATTTGTAAATATTAGTTTAAACGGCCTTTTGAAAAACGGATCATAGGTGTTCTGAAGAGCTACCGTTTTAAAATATTTGTAAATAATAATAATAAATTGATATTTCCTTTCCTGTTCATTAATACTGAAAAATTTGTATTTTCCGATGTATTTTTGTACTACACGACTTTGTTTATCTGATTGTCTCGCTTTATGAAACATATAAACCTTTATATTTTTCGCTGTGTAATATAAATAAACTCTGTATCGTCTATGAAGAACAAATTTTGCACTCGCTCGTTCGTTTAATTTGCGAAAACAGATTAACGCGTGCGTAAATACCACACGTAAGTATTTCCCATGAAAAAATCTCTATATACTATTCGGTTATCCGGTTATCCGATTATCCGGTTATCCGGTTATCCGGTTATCCGGTTATCCGATTATCCGGTTATCCGGTTATCCGGTTATCCGGTACCCGGGTTTTCTACCATGCCTTTCCAGAGTCACGCGATGCAAGCGTAGCATTGTTTTGACGGTTTTTCGTCGTATTTCCGGTTGGGATTAACGCATATTCGGAGCAGAAATACAAAATTCGGCACTAAATGTCGAATTTTAAAGATAGAAGCTTGAAAATAACACTATGCGTGTTATTTTTAACTTCTTATTCCACCAAGAAGATCAGAATGAGCATACGTCTCAATGGAACGAAGTTATATTCGGCGAAAGGTGTGTTTATGTTTACAATTTGTCAGTAATATTGCGTAATTTGACCATATACGAGCTCGTTTGACCTTCAAAGCTCATAAATCGCTATAATGTTGCCATTCACTAAATCTATCGATAGGAATGAGTAGCTATCGTTACACTGAATCGAATGGTGGTATTTTGGTCCACGTAGCATTTACCGAACTGAAGATGTGAACCGCAAAAATGAGTAAATCATGAGTGATTTGTTTAAAGTGCTTATGAAACGAAATTTTTACCTAATTTTTTATTGTTGCGCTAAAAAGTACTGCTAGAGCGAAGAAGAATGACGTTTACAGTTTCTTCATATCTCATCTCATTCTCAAGTTATCGCACTTTCTAAATGTTGAGTTGTGACGTCACTAGTTTGACTTGAGATGATGGCAATAACAAGAAAGTCTGATATCTTAGTGAGTATTTTATAAAATTCAATGAAACCCGGTACACTTAGTGGGTGCACCCATATAAATATTTTTGGAAGGTCATGTGGTTGTCATGACAACACACTAGTCCCCAGTCTCTTCTCTACTTTCTCACAAATTTCCCCTGTAGACCTCTTGCAGGGGATGTTTGCATGTTATAACGGTTTAAACTGATCATAATACCTACACGTATTATAATAATAAGCGACAATTGCAGAAATTACTATTTATTTCGTTGGAAATGGATCATAGAGAAATTGGAAGAGAAGGGATTGGGGACAAGTGTGTTGCAATAACAACCATATAAACAAGCCAAGTTGTTCACTTCGTTGCACCCACTAAGCATTCCAAGTTTCATTGAATTCTATTAAATTATCATCAAGATATCAGATTTTGTTGTTATTGCCACTATTTTGAGTCACACTAGTGACGTCACAACTCAAAATATAGAAAGTGCGATAATTTGCGAATGAGATGAGATACGCACAAAGTGTAAACGTCATTCGTCATCATTTAAGCAGTACCTTTTAATAAAACAATAAAAATCGAGGCACAAATTTCGTTTCATAAGCACTTTAATAGGGACCTGTCGAGAATTTGCCACAGATTTTGCCAAAAATATTTCTAATAATGGACACTCCTTGCGTGAAAATGTTAATTTATCCCAAAGTTTGAATAAATTAATCCGAGATTGGATTATTTGCATAATAATATACTTGTCATTGACCAATCAGAATACATAGAAGACCGGCCGACAAAAAGGGAAAAGCCCTGGGAACGAGGTTGGGATTATACTTGAGCCTTCGTTTCCTTCCCAAGGATCGCAGGCTCGGGGAACGAGATTGACTTGCATCCAAAAAAAAAAATTATTGGACTCTCTCGTGCCCATACCCTTGCGCGGCCAAAAGCTTGAACCAATAAGCGCGCGAAAAAAAAAAACAAACAATGGCCTACAGCAGATTTGTTTGGCTGAATGAAAGTGAACTCTCCAAATTATTGGCAGATAAGGATAGTGAAAGCATGAAAAAAGCCACAAAGGGGTAAATAGAAGTAGAAATAGAATATTTAGCTGACCTTTGACTTTGTGCAAGGTGTTTGATATTGTACTTTTCCTACCTCATGAACAGGAATCGTTTTATACGTTTCTCATGTCTTTAAATGTATAATAAAACAATTATTGGATTCGGCTTTCGCGTGATATCAAGAATTATTCAGACCTCGGTCTATGTTATCCGCCTCAGCTTCGCTTCGGCAGATAACATTGACCTCGGTCTGAATAATTCTTGATATCATGCTCAGCCTCATCCAATAATTGCTTATTGTCTTACAGTTAATGCCGTACAGTATGAGGCCGAATTTCGATTGTTAATAGACTGCAGATGCCACCCAAGTTTCAATAACCAGTGGAAAGAGGAGATAATTTTGTACAAGATATGAAAGTTTTAAAAAATCCTATAGAATAGCAGTGGAGAAATTTATAGTTTAAAATTCTTAGCAAATTGTATTTAATATTTATTGGCAGTGTCGATAGCTGTTAGGAAAGTATCGGTTGGTGTGCTTTGAAATGCGTTTGTAGGTTTGTGTGCGGATAACCATAAAGGTACTAGTTAGCTAATGTGACCTGCATGGTTTATTTCTCTCAAATTGATTTGGGAAAGAAGAAATGGCTGTATTTATCATTTTGATTTTAAAGTGATTGAAATTAGTTAATTTACACGATATCGAATATCATGTTGAATGTCATGTTGAATCTCATGCGGTAAGGCAAAAGATGGTATATTAAAGATTTCCCAAACCCAGTTGGTAATACGGCAATAACATCTCTTCCATTTACTACTTGACAAACAGCTTCTTTCTGCTCTTTCTTTAATTTAATGTGAGTGTTATTCGTTTTTGTAAGTGCAAAATGTATTGCTTCTTGTAGTATTCGTTCCTTTATAGTTGCATTCATTGCGGTCGCCATGTTTTTAGGGAATAATACATATGCTGTGCGACCAAGCCTCTGCGTCGGAATTCCGCTGAAGCTCAACAACCTGAATCCTTTCTGGGTTTTTTCATTAATTTGGTTGGGGTTAGAGTTAGGGTTGCGGTTAGGGTTAGGGGTTAGAGTAGGGGTAGGGTTTGGGTTAGTTACATAGCCATTGAACACCCCTTCCATCTTCTGAAAATGACGTCACGTCAATTTCACAGATGGAAACTAGTGCTAACCCACTGTGAGGGCCGCCCGAGCTTGGGCCTGGGGACGAGGATGCAAATGTGCCCAAACTAAAACAGCAGGTTAAATTTTAACCCAGGGTTAGCGCTAATCCAGCATTGAACAACCGGCCCCAGATCGCAGTATAGGGAGACAACCAGTAGGGCCACTTAGGGGAGAGAAAAGTGGGAATTATTTAAACTAGGTCCCAGGTGCCTTACGCGGCCAAAATCATTACTCTGTAATACAATTGTATAGTGAACTGCTGCCGTTTTTCTGGTTGCCAATATGTAAATTAAGTTGGCAGCCAGCAGCGGCGGCGGAACAGATTTAATTCTGGGGGGCTAAAAAATTTTTTCGTGACCTCCCCCCCCGTCGCCAAAAAAATTTCGGTCAGTGTACCATTTTAGGGGTACAAAAATTTTTCCGGACATATACAAGAAAAAGGATGAAAAAATTTTTTCCGAACAAATAACAGAAATTTTTTCCGGAAATTCACAATTTTTAAACAAAACACGGCAAATTTTTCCCATTATACATAAATTTCAAGAAAAATAACCTAAATTTTTCCTTACTTGGGGGGCTTTAGCCCCCCTAGCCCCCCTGTTCCGCCGCCCCTGGCAGCCAGTAAACAATGTGGACACTTTTTCACGCTGAGTGGCCCTACTGTAGTTTTCCTATACTGTGCCCAGATGATTGTTATGTTGAGAAAAGGCAATTTGGGAGAATATTGAACGTAATTTTATTAAATTATTTAAAGGAAATTTTCACAATTTTTTGAAGGAATTTTCGTTCAAAATAACATAGAAAATAAGGAGAAAAAAGGAATTGTTAGTTTTTCAAAGTGGAAGCACTGCCTGTCGAACGCAAGAACAAAAACAAATATCAAAATATCCGACAATGGCCGAGGAACAGGAAGGCCAAGTGAAAATGTTTTGTGGCGCTTGCCCAGACAGCCACTGTGGAAAACTACTATATTTTATGTCTCACGTGAATTCAGAAGTAGAGTGCAGCGATTGTGGGCAAAAACATAACCCGAATTCGCTTCTGAACGTGAAAAAATCGACCGACTCAAACGTAGCTGTTGGGAACGTATTAAAGTCAATATTACTCTCCAATACTGCCGTGAAGAAAGGCTCAGAGCTGGTTAGGATCCGGGGTTTGTCCAATTTTCATTGTAAAATAATTTCACCTTTGCTAACGAGCTATGGCATGGACAAGAAGACGGGTAAAGCGAAGCTGTTATCAGAGTTAGGACAGGCTGAAGTTTTTAATTGTGCTGTCTTTGGTAATAGGGCCTTCCTTATTGAGAAAGAGCACTTGGATACACCCGGGTATGGAAGGGATGACACAGTGTCGTTAGGGTACCTCAATGATACCCTAGGGATGATCGAGAAGGCAAATGGTGGGGATTGTTTGGTACCCTTATATTCGGATGGCGACGGACATTGCCTCGTTCATGCCATCTCACGAGCAGTTGTTGGCAGAGAGCTACTGTGGCACAGTCTACAACAAAACCTGAAAGACCATTTACAGCAAGAGAACATGAAATATCAAGAATTATTCAGAGACTTTCTCGACACTAACGAGTGGGATGAAATAGTTAATGAGGCAGACCCTAATTACCATCCCCCCACTAACGAACCTTTTGGTTTACGGACTATCCATGTTTTCGGACTGGCAAATGTTCTGCACAGGCCGATAATTTTATTGGATAGCTTGGAGGGTATGCAATCCAGTGGTGATTATTCTGGAATATTTTTGCCCGTTTTGGTTTCGCCGGAGGAATGCAAGTCACAAGGATCGTTAAATAAACCATTGGCTATTGCATGGAGCAGCTTGGCAAGGAACCACTATGTACCTCTCGTCGGGATCAGATATTCTACCCCACCTAAAATCCCACACTCACTTTTGCCAAAAGTTTGGGGTGTACCAAATGAATTAGTCTCAACTTACATTGAATTCAATGAGAATGGCGGTTGTGAAATTGGTGGATCTCGGAGCTTACAGGATAGTTACGTTCAACGCCTGGTCTCTGCAATGAATGAACTTTTCTTTGAAAAGCATGAAGTCTTGCCCAAACTTGTGGCAGATGTCAATCAGTTCATTTTCAAACCTTCAAATGGAGTTGGTATTTCAATCCCTGAAATTATCGAGTTTACCCAAAACGCCATTGAAAGTGAAAGTTTGTTTCGATGTTTGTCGTGTCAGGCATTGAAAAAAGTCAAAGATATGTGGCCCAGGTCTTGGAGGGAGCCTGGAGGACGGTGGTATACGAGGGCGCAGAAGTCCAATGAGGGACTCATAGCCAATGCAATCTATATGTTTATAGAGGCCCAAGGTGTGCATATCATGTATGAACCGAAATTTGACATGTTGATGCCTGTTTTTAGTAAGGTAATTTTGTAAGCAATAACAATCTTGTATTTAACCCTTTTAGTGGCAATGCACCCTACATTATTTTACTCTGTCTAACACCAGACGATTTTACTTTTCAGTGGGAGAATGCTGCCACTCATTGGGTTAATCAGACTATCTGCCTGTGCACCCTTTACGTGGCAATGCACCTTACTTTATTATTTTACTCTGTCTAACATCAGACAATTTTACTTGTCAGGGGAAGAGTGCTTCCACTCAATGGGTTAAGGGCCTTCAATGTTTTGGCAGCCCTTCGAAAACCATCAAAATTGAGGTTGGCAAAGAAATGGCGACCTAAATCTGACCTAATTCAGCACGTCTCGGCATTTTTAAAAATCTGTTCCACGTCTTGGAGCGAATCATTGAAATCAGCATATAACTGGAACGTTACCTCTAGCCAGAAAATTCAAAAGCCAAATTTTATTTCCAGACGTGTGAAATTTGATCTTCAGACACCTAAATTATATATATAAAATAGCTGTCAATTTTTAAGGATTTGCGAAGCAAAATCCTTTATGTCATCGGGTGTGTAAGATAGATAGATAGATAGATAGATAGATAGATAGATAGATAGATAGATAGATAGATAGATAGATAGATAGATAGATAGATAGATAGATAGATAGATAGTAACACATTAGTGACGTTGAGTTCCGAGTCGAGTATTCGTGAACCGCCGGAAGCTATTCGCCATTTGTGTCGATATTCGCAATCTTTCGGGCAAAAACTCCGCTCATTTTCGTACAATACACCAACGACTAAACATTGTACCACTTACTTTCAGCTAAAGGAATGAATATATGACTGTTTTGTGCTAGAAATACAAATGGAAAAGGTCCTAAAAGACAAATTCATTCAACTCAGGAGCAGCCGTGTAATTAAAATAAATTATAATATAGCATTTGTAAATTCTGAACGCTGATTGGCTAAGAGCCGTGTTGATATAACTCCATGTCAACACGGGAAATTTTCCGCCGCTTGTAACACGGAAATTTTTCTTATTCTTCGGGCTTTTGACATTGATATATTATAAAACAAATATAAAACATTTTTTCCGTATTGATATATAGTTATATCAACACTCGTGGAAGTTGGGAAAACTCGAAATTGTGTGAAAACACTCCGCCCTTCGGGCGTCGTGTTTCCACACAATTTCCCGTTTTCCCAATTTCCACTCGTGTTGATATAACTGTATATCAACACGGAAAATGTTTTATATTTGTTAAATCAAAAGCGGTGTTTCCACTATAAAAACTGTATTGTTCCATTTTTCATTCGTATTCATTGGAAATGAATTAGAAATGTATTGCCTGTTGCGGAATGCGAAAACATCGAAATAATTTTGTTGTTTTTTATGCAAACGTTAAGTTATAAAATATCTTCAACATTTCTACAAATTCAGTTATTCTTTTATCTTTGAGGCAGTGATAAAGCCATTTAAAAGTTGTAGTAGATTAACTTTGAATATAACATTCCAAGAAAAGATTTATCATGCATGATGTTGTGTTTTGTTATACTACATTTTGGGCGAGATTTTTGCATCGTCCTTGCATTATTAACTGATATTTTTCAATCTTTTTTGCATTATAAAATTGACAACAAAATTGCAAATCCTTGCGCACTCTTTGAGTGCCTATTTTTAAACCATACACCGAAGTGTGTTCAGTTAATCGAACTACGAATCGAATTCTATAATCGCTGACTTTTTAACAGCTATCAGCACCAAAAAATTCTTACTTTGGTGACTGAATTAAGGTCGGCAAAAATTTGCCGACCTGGGAGATTGATAGGTCGGCATTGCAGAATGCAGACCTCGTTTTCGAGGGCTGCTTTGGGTGCCCTTTTTAAGCTGGGGAAACAAGGGCCCCCCTCCAGCAGCCCTGCAGACGCTAATATATATTGTTGCCCACAGGATCAGGATTGTGACCTCTGTAAAGGAGTGACTCGTGAAGTTTCTGCCGATGGTTCTGTCAGATACATGAATGGTGATCGGACATCAATCCAGTCCAACAATAGCAAGGGATGCACATGTGGTTTTAAACATTTCTGGGATGGTAATGAATATGATAATGTACCGAAAGTGTAAGTATGGCACAGTTCAATTGTTAAATTGTTAAACTAAGTGTACAGTACTACTGCAGCAAACTTGTTAAAAGTTGTTTCAACAAAGATTTTTGCAGTGCGTAAATACTCGTTACAAAAGTAACGCGTTACTAATTACTTTTTTGAGTAATTTTTGCGGTAATTAATTACCTGTTCTGCCAAAGTAATCTTATTTAAACTTTTTCCAGGTAACGAGTAAAATTCTTATGAAGTAACTCACGTTACTTCTCAATTTTATTGCACCATTATTTCCGGTTTTAACGTATATTATTATTGACATTTATCTGTCGTTGCGTTTTCTTTTCCAAAATCTCACTGACATATATATATATATATATATATATATATATATATATATATATATATATATATATATATGTTATTTACCGGCTGCGAGGTCCGGATGCCCGAGGTCTTGAAAACGGCCCGAGACCGAAGGGCGAGGGACGTTTTCAAGACCGAGGGCACAGTTTTTCTCATCCGGACCGACGCTGCCGGTAAATAACGTGTTTATTTTTTATCAGATTTAAAAATTAAATTCATTAAAATTCCAGTGTTGCTTGCGAACTAATTTGAGATCAGTGAAGTAGTGTATTTTCAAAGCGAGGCTGACAAAAATTGAAAAGTTGGAACATATAAAACACGAATACGAAAACTCGAGAAAACTGGCAAGAAACACACAAAAAGACGTATAGTTTCAGTAAAAATGTACCTGCTTTTTTCATGAGTATGGTAGCAGAGAGACTTTGGAATAAAAACTTTTATGCTTGGCGTTTTGGCTTTGACAAAATCAGTTGCTCCTGACAACGACAGGTTCATGTTCAGATCCGATCAAAAACATATAAAAATCAATCTGTTTTGGTTTAATCAACGTTTTTCTACTAAAAAGAGAATGATAAAAGTATGTTACTTTTATATTTTTGTATTTTTTCTTGTCGTTTCACGATAACATGGTTGAAAAAAGTGTTTTTAAACACAAACTTTTACTTTGTTTACAATATTTATATCAGTGAAAAATACATGACACAAATGGGTAGAGAATATATTCGTAACTTGTTTTCACTGCTGCAGTTAAACCTTCTTTTAAATGGGAAAACATTTATTTTACAATCATATACAGGGTGTATCAAAATAAACGCAATTCATCTTTTGTGCTTAATAACTTTCGACATACTATTTCTAGTTAAACGCTTTTAGGCTTACTTCAAAGCCTGTTCTTTTCTCTTTCACACAAACTATTATCCTTGTCTCCAATGCTAGTAATAATTGCACAGGAAAAGATTTAGTAAAACCTATCATTTTTAGTTGCTGTTTAATTATGCATGTTTACTATGTTATTGTTTAGTCGGTTTAAATGTTAGAATTTTCTTCTTTAAACTTTAATGTTGTCGTCACTACATCTGGAAAACCACGTAAGAACAAATTAAAAGTATTTTAAAAGAGACCAGGTTGTTTGAAAATCCTAAACGAATGCTAAAAATCGTCAAAACGTTCTGGTGTCTGAGCTACAGTGTCATCGAATTGCGATGTAATGTAAACAGAAATTATAGCAAGTTGATGTCAGTCAGCTTAGATGGTCCAAGCCAAAATTATATCGCATTTGAAGTTTAAAACTGAGTTAAAAATAGTGAAAGAAAAGCCGTAATTATACTTATTGTTACAATCCATTTAATAAAATGCAACATTTTTTGTTTTAATGAAAAAATCAGTTATTTTCATGAGAACGATTTGTTATTCCATCTCAATTTTTTTAATCTCCAATCGCAATAACGTAAAGTATTATTACCCGCGAACCAATGAGTGAAATTTAAGAAACAACCCACTGTTAGAAAGCTGAATGGCTACGCTTTAAAATGAATGTAAACTTTAACGTTTTCGTCTATTATTTGTTTAGCAATTTACATTTCAGTCGAGGATTGCGCTTTTTTTGATACACCCTGTATATCTGTTTAAGCTGTAATTTTTTCGCTTTTAAGTGGCCGAATACATGAGCATTTAAAAAAATATATAGTTTTCTCGACGTATAAGTTTTATACATGTCAAATAACTTCCGACTTTCTGTCGCATTTTTATCAAAATATTGTCAATTCTTGTGAACATCGTGCTTAGTATGGAGCCCTTAGGGCTTGATGCAATTCATTTTCGTATTCTGACTATTGTTAGGCTATGTTTTCAAACGTTTTTGGCAGATTTTTTCGTTTAAAAAGTGTTTCACTCCTCAGTTTTTGGCGCGAAAACCAGAGCGGGCAGTTGCATTTCACAGCGGGCAGTTGCGTTTCAGAGCGGGCCGGATGCAAAAAACCGGCCCGCTCTGAAAGGCTCCTCAGCCAATCAGATTGCTTCATTTTCACTGATAAAAAATAAATATATTTACTCATACAGGGTGTTAGCCAGAAGTAAAAAAAATCCGCGTTTACCTGAAATCGGGAAATTTATTTTAGCCTGAAGTCGGGCATTTCTTTGAGGTTGCCCCCTCTCGATTTTTAAAATTTTCATGTCTTTGAAATGGTATTTCCAGCATTTGGGAGTAGTTTTGAGCGAATGTAGGTATAAGTATGTTTTTAAATAATGGCGTATTAACAACATTGAATTTCTATAACTATTTTTTGGCTGATCCGAATTGGGTAATTGGGAAAACCGCGTTTAACACGGAATTTTTGACTGTAGCTAACACCCTGTCATATTACTACTGTATATACTAAATATATTACAGACCCTAACATTCTAATAGTAATGAAAATCTGGCAAAAGCCATGCTTGTTCTACACCAGATTATTAAACTCAGGCATTCAGGTTTTGTAATATGTCTATTAACAATTTGCACCTCTTTGTTCATCTCACATTTTGCATGTACAAATTGATTATCTGTTTCGGATTAAATTGGACTAACAACATTAATACCATAAACATTTTGGGATTGACTTTTAGGAAAAAAATAG